GCACGGAGCCCGGCGCGGTTCGTGGTCGCTTGTGTGGGCCCCGCTGGGGCCGCCATTCCCCGGAGTGGCCCTGGCCAAGCTGTGGGGGCCTTTGCCGTGCCCTTCCCTTGGGAGCCTGGGGGCCTTAGCGTGATTGGCCCCAGTGACTGCACAGTCTCAGACTGTTAAGTGCTTTTTCCCTCTGTTATCCAGTGTGGGAATGGTGCCTGACAAGTGCTGTAGGCTTGCTTTGTCTCAGAGAAGCCAAATTTGCCTGTTCTCATGGCAGTTCTGCAGCTGAACAATAGCCGTCTTCCTCTGTTTTCTCACTAACCAAACTGTCATTTGCATTGGTTTACACCAATGGTGCAGATGGTGATGGGCACCTGGTTTGGCAGGCTTGGCCAGCTGCACTGGCTGCTGGCAGTACTTCCAGTGCCTGTGCTCGAGCTGCACAAGCTGGGGGCTGCTCTGCTCTGGCCAGGTGCTCCCAGCACGCTGCAGGTGGTGAAGCTTTGGTGGCACCTCCGGCAGCGCCATTGAGCACGGTGGTGTACTGTCTTCTCTAGTTGAGTTCAGCTGTGGAAGGAGTGCAGGGATGGCCCCTGGCCCAGCCAGCCCCTGCTCTGCGCTGATGTCTTTAATGAACCCCTGGCTTGGGTGGCTCCTTGCTCTCACTGATCTTTTCTCATGTTGCAGTGCTCTACTGAGACCGCCTCTATCCCGGGTGTTTTCTGGCAGGCACCAGCCATGTTGTGCCTGTGCTCTTCTGAGGCTGGGACATGTTTGGGCTCAACCTGGCTGCTCAGTCCCTGTGGAAGGGACATGCTGGCTGGGTGAGGGGACCAAGGCTTAGCATCCTGGACGGGTCCCGGGGCCACTAGGACTGAGTCAGCCCGCAGTGCGGCTCTGTCCAGAGCAGGTCTGGGCAGGCAGTTGTATTGTCTCACTTGCCAGAACGGCCAGTACAGAGCTGACGTGGTGCCAGCTGCAGAAGGACAGTGTCTCATCTGGCACAGTCTGCGAGTGCGGAGTTAGCCTGCCAGAAATCCGAGTGGACGGGTGGTGGATGAGCAGGGTGGGCTGGATCAGTACTCTGCATCATTTGGTGGTGGTGCTTCTGGTCTAGGACAAGGAGGGCGGTGGCTGGATTCATCCCTCCTTGGTCTGGAGCTCGTCCATGGGGCTGTGCGGGTCCCTCGTGTCTGTCCGGCACCTCCCTCCTCGGGTGAGGCTTCCCAGAGGCCCCGTCAGTAGAGGCAGCAGAGGAGCTGCTGCTGAACTGGTGCGCCTGCATCTTCCGGCTCTTTTTCAAGCTAATTAAATACATCCTTGAAAGGTTTATGCCCTCGTCTATCACAGGGCGACAGCGTCAATGCAATCCATCCCTGGGCTGGTGTGAGCTGAGAAGGGGCTGGCTGCATGAGCGCTCCTGCTGCAGCAGCACTGTGTGCCAGTGGCTTGGGTGCTGAGTCCCTGAGTGCAGCCGGCTGCTGCGATCACCGTCGTGCCAGAGACCAAGGGGTTGGGTGGTTTTTTCTTTTTTCCCCCATTGCTCCTTTTTAAAGCAATCCTGCATAGCTCCGCAGTTGCTGGGTGGGAAGTGGAGCCAGGGAGGATGTAGGGGGCTCCTATGGGCAGTGTCCCCTCCCTGATGTCCTCTCTCTGTAGTCTCGCCGGGGCGCCTGGCGCTGTCTGTGACCAGCCACGGGGCCAGCTCTGTCGGTGGGTGTGTGCTTCCTCTTGGGGGAAGGCCCATGTTTCTGATGGTTCCAGGGCAAAGCAGCCTGACCTCTGGGAGCCTCAGGGGCTAGTGTGGACCCTCCTGATGCTGGCTCGATTGATGGAAAGTTTCTTAAAGCTTCCCTGTTACCCTGCAGAGATACCCTATGTCCTCTGTCTCAAAGGACTGTACCAGTGGGAGCTTTGCTGAGATGGGTAACCTGCTATTTTTGAAAACGCCGCATGCCCCGGAGCAGGGGTGAGTGGAGAATTTCCAAGCCAGGCAAAGCACAGCTCCTCTCTGATAATGCTCTGCCATTGCGGTCTCCGTGACTGAAATGATTTCATGGCCAAAGAAAACAAAGAAATCTCGGCAAGAGGCTTAAGAGAATCCAAAAATGGATGCAGCACGCATTGGATGTGTGTCCAAATACCTTAGCAGGGGGAGCGCCAGGTTAAAGGCCTTTGGGGAACGGACTGAGAAGACAACACATGCTTGTGCCTGGAGAATAAAGAGATAAGACTCAAGTGGGATACAAAGCTGATTTTTAACAGGCTGGTTGATCAACTGCACTGACAGGCTGTCCCAGGCAGTGGAAGTGTTCTCAGCTCCATGCTTTCCAGCCTGGATACGGCTCTTGGAAGGAGCTACAGCCAGACAAGCTGCTGCTCAGGGCAGGGCGAGAGTCCACTGATCGAGTGACTCTGGTTAGGGTCCTGCTCTTGCTGTCCCTCCTTGGCCGTGCTGGTCTGCCCCATCACCAGCGGTGGTTTGTTCAGTGTGCTGACCTGCCTCATGGGTTTGCTCTGCTCCCGCAATAGCTTCTCCATGAGCTAATGGCTTCGGTCAGCGTCCCAGAATAGGTGGTGGCTTGTGCTGAGCATGGTGCCCAGGGCCGTGCCCTTCCAGCCTCCCTGCAACCCGAGCCCCCGGATTTCCACAGTTAGTGATTTTGTCGTCTGTGCTGTTTGTTCCTCCTTGTTTCCTTTTTTCTTTTTAAAGAAAACATTGCTGGTGATGTTTGTGTAGCTGCAGGGCATTAATCCACATCAACCAGGCTCATATTTATATCCCACCTGGGAAGGGCAGTTGCATCAGCACATTTTGTAAAACGTTGAGCAAAACAGCCCTTGCTGCAGGAAATGGGTTTTTCTTCACACCAGATTGCTTCACCACTCAGCTCCTTCCCAGCAACAGCGGCTCCTGAAGCAGGCGCCTGGGGCTCTCCCGGGGGATTGCTCTGTGCTGGGATGGCAGCGAGCCGGGATAGCTTCCCGATGGGCACCGCTCTGGCCCCTCTGCCATGTTCCCAGGGCTTGCCAGGCCACTGGCGATTCTGCGGGAAACAGTCTCCCTCTGGTGCCGGCTGTTCCTGCGGGGATCTCCACTTCGCAGGGCGCTGGTGCGGGTGGGAGTGTCATAGGCTAATGCTCTCTCTTCTGTGGCCACCAAGGCTGCGGCTGACCCCGTGGCCTCAGCCGTAATGCCACCCTTGGGCTCAGGCAGGGCACTCCCGAGACAGGCAGGA